GGATTAAAGGTGTGTACCACCACACCCAACTACTCTCTTTCTTTCTTTTTAACTTTAAGAACTTTAACTTTTAGCCTGCTGATTTCAATTATATTTCCACCATAAATGTAAAAGGGTTTCTGTTTCTCTCAAATCCTTACCAGTGCTATATATACATATATATTATGCACATTGATGTTGTACCTGCTTGTATGTCTGTGTGAGGGTGTCAGATCTTGTAGTTACAGACATGTAACTCCATGTGGGTGCTGGGAACTAAACCTGGGTCCTCTGAAAGATCAATTAGTGCTCTAAACCATTGAGCCATCTCTCCAGCCTCCTATTAATAATTTTCTTAATGACAGCTACTCTGACTAGAGTGTATTAGAGTACCACTGTAGCTTGACCACAGTTGTTAGAAAACTTTACATGAACTTTTGGTACTACTAATTTATTCTTTTGAAACAGCCTTTTTGCTTCATTTATCTATTTATTCTTTGAATTACTGTTTTTAACTTTTACTCTTTTGAGTGTTTATTTAACTTGGATGTTAATGGCCTGGTGGATGAACATCTAGCCACGATCATCTCCCTTCCTGGAAGATATGCATCCACTCTAATGGGTATTTTTTTTTTGTTCCTTTGTTATTTGAATGGTTTTCAATTTGATGTTATTCCTGACTTACTGAAGTCATGGTCTGAAAGTCACTCCCTATGCCCATCGTTTAAGGTTCTTTTCCTATGTTTATTCCAGGACTTTCAGTATTTGAAATCCTGTTCAATTGTTTTTGTTTCATTTTGTTTTGTCTACTTTCTCTGTGATCTTCAAACAAAATTATTTCTGCTACTAAGTTCGTGGATCTTCACTGTGCTCCTTCCTTCTGTTCTGGAGCTCTCTGGCCTGGGGTGCTTGGGCAGTTTTGTTTTTAATTACCTTTACTTCATTTGATTCTTATTTAATCTTAGTTTTCTTTGCTGCTATTTCAACTTTACTTGTTAAGACTTCTTTAGTCTCCAGCCCAATCTGAATATCTCATTGAAGCTTTGTTGTAGTAGATCTTTAAATCTCTTGTGAGTCACATAACAACAGCACTAATGCCTCTTTCATCTTCATGCCATCTAGGGTTGGCATCTCTAGGTTATTTTTCTCATCCAGAGCTGTGTGGTTCCTGGTATGATGAATGATGTGAGAAAATTAAGAGTTGAATATTTGGACTGAGGACATAGGACATCTCCAGTCAGCACCCGCAAGAGATTTGACTTAGTTGGTTTTGATAATGTTATGGTTACTAAAGCAATATGAAGAATCATATCTTTCTATTGATACTCCAGGTATCCTAAGTTGACAATGTAAGTATAAAAAGAGGAAGAAGCAGGAGAAGGATGAAAAGAATGAAGAAAGGGATGCAGGGAAGGAAGAAGAGAAACAAGGAAGGGAATTCCTCTATTGGAAACAGGATTTTCAGAGTGTTGGAATGACCTGGTATCCAGAGTGCACTAGATCTATGAAAATTATGCTGGCTAGATTGAACCCAGGACACTCTTTCTTCCATATGATGAGGAAGGAGTGGAAGCCACAGGTCTGTATCTAAACACACACACCAGAAGCCAATTAGTAAATGTCATAGGCCTCTAACAGTGATTCCTAAACAGCAATAGCTTCTGAGTCAGTAGATTTAGAAAGGGACTCATAGTCTTTTATGGCCAATGCTTCCTTACATTACAGCTCCACAGCCCATATCTTAAGTAGCATGGTTCTGTACAATCACCCCTGCTAACATGTAAAAGGTGCTAACAATCTGTTGATCTCTGCTGGAAGCTATCTCGATCACATCATTTTTTTTTCTTTTAAAAATGTCATGTACTTCATTTCTGATGCTAAAACTGAATAGATGTTGATTTGAGGCAAGGAAAACATTTAAGATGTATAAATGCCTTGAAATCAGAATATATGACCAAAGACATAAAAAACATAACCCCTCCACTCTTATCAACATTTTTCAGTGCTCTCTAAATACCTTGATGACAATTACAAAGTCTGATACTGAAACATCTGATTTGACCATTTGTCAAAAGACAGAAAATTGAAATCAGGACTTTGGCAATTAGGGTTCATTTTACATTGAATTCTGAAATATTTTACTCATCTCGAAAATATGAAAAATAAATTTATGTATATAAATAAACATATAAACATTAAGTAAAATACTATAGACCATATGATGTAAAGACCAGAAGGATTTTATACAGCAAATGCTATTTGGATCAAAAGTCAAAATAATAATTCTCTTTATATTCATTTAAATATGTTTAAACAGTCAAACAACATGTGCCTAAAACATTCTAAAGCATTTGATTTTTAGTAACACATTAACTGACCATGTATGTAAAAATAAAGAATTTTGTAGGAAAGAAAGTTTAGAAAATCCAGCAGTGATCAACTGCTATAGAGATTTGCATTGGCATGGATCTTGGTTTTATTAATACAAATTTAAAGTCAATCTTCTTAAATGTATATTTCTGCTCTTGATTAAGGTATTGTGGTTGTGTAGTTCATTTAAAAATGTAATGTATAATAAAGAAATACATGTTAATAAATAGTCATCTATAATAGTCAAACTTGTAGTAATGATATATATTTCAGTTAGATGGGTATTCTTCAAATCTTTCAGAGAACTACAGAATATGGCATAAAAATGTTTTAAGAACTTAGAACTTTTCATGACAGTGAGACACATCTGCTCCGGGCAGCACCAAGCTACTTCAAGAAGAATATGGGTGTCGAAGAAGCTCCTCATGGAGTTTGTTAGCCATTTGGGTAAGAAACTGCTCTTGCCTGTACTGCTTGACTGGACACGCAGGACCCACAGAGAAATGACTGCTAAACTTGCCTACAGGTGAGACAGTCCTTGGGGTTCCTGCTTCATGAAAGGACAGACAGAGTCTTCCAGACATTCTGCAGGATGCAAAAGAAAGTGACTGATTTCCTGCTTTATGGAAAAGACTACTGGATACTATATGCCTGAAAATGGATGCCTGTCGCAATGGTTCAGAAGAACTTTGGGTGACTGTTCAGGCAGCAAGTTGTCTCTGTCAATTCTAAAGTTTTTGAAGGTGCTTACAATGCACTTTCTATTTACTTAGATAATATTATATCCTTCTGGAGTCTTTGATAGAGTTGAAGAATTTATAGTTATAGTTATAGTTTCCTTAGTTATGATAAAGATAAAGTAGATAAAACATTGTAACTGTAATCCTTGTATGATGGATGATTTTTTATAAACAATTTTACTATGTTAAAGTTAAACTTTCCTTTTCATTTAAACAGAAAAGGGTAGGTGATGTGGAATTTCCCACTGTATGCTGTGAATACCATTGGTTTATAAAGAAATTATTTTGGGCCTGTGCAGGGAATAGAGGTAGGCGGGGGAAAATAAGCTGAATGCTGGGAGAAAAGAGCAGAGTCAGAGAGACGCCATGGAGCCGCTGGAGACAGATATGCCAAAACTTTGCTGGTAGGCCACGACATCGTGGTGATGCACAGATTAAAGGAGAAGGGTTAAATTAAGATGTAAGAGTTAGCCAATAAGAAGCTAGAGCTAATGGGTCAAGCAGTGATTTAATTAATACAGTTTTTGTGTGATTATTTTGGTTCTGGGAGCCGGGAGGAATAAGCGGCTCCTTACTACAGTCAGCAAATTTCTTTTTGAAGAAGTTTGCAGAACAGAAAATTCTAGATATAACCACAAACCAAATCCTCTCTCCCCCCTTCCACACACACTCTTTAACCTCATCCTGGGAACTAGTTTTCTTTCTGACTTAACTCTTTTCAGTAACAAAACATTCCACACAATTACTCAGTAGCACAGACATTTTGCTTTAAGTATACATAACAATGTTTAAAATGAAATTCTGATATTGACTTCAAGTCCTAGGCGTCCCACCCCAATTGGGTAGAAAGTGTATGATACAGAGTCAGGAAAAGACTCAACTGGTTGGTTCTTTCCTCTCTGAGAGCTTTTTCACTCCCCTGCCCCACAGAGTGTCTGGGATTCTCTACATTGGCAGCACAAGCAGAATGAAAGAAAGGAGATCAATCAGCAAGCTTTCATTTAACTGTGGGTTAATCGTATCAACTTGACAAGATCTAGAATCATCTAGGTGACAGCCCTTTGGGCAAATTTGTCAGAGAGTTGCTCATTGAGGTGGGAAGAACCATCCTAACTCTGAGTGACACTATTCTTTTGACTCGGGTCCTTAGTAAACAGGAAAACGTCAACTGAACACTAGCGTTCATCTCTCTGCTTCTCCACTGAGGACACAGTGTGGTCAGCTTCCGCAAGCTCGTGCCACCAGGGCTTTCCCACCGCAATGGACTCTACCTTTGTAATGTGAGCCAATAAGAAGCCCTTTTGTGGGTTTCCCCGTCATTATCTTGACCCCTTTGCTCATATAATCTCCCCTCCCTCTCTTCAACTGGACTCCGGGAACTTGGCCCAGTGCTTAGCTGTGGATCTCTGCATCTGCTTCCATCAGTTACTGCATGAAGGGACTATGGTGACAATTAGGGTGGTCATCGATCTGATTACAGGAGAAGGCCAGGTCAGGCACCCTCTCCACGATTGCTAGCTGGGGTTATCCTTGTGGATTCTTGGGAGTTTCCCTAAGACCTGAGCTAGTGGGAGCTCACTGACTCTGACAGAATTAGGCCCTCTGAAGGTGGATGACAGTTGTGTGGCTTGGGAAGTCTGTAGACCCACTGGCAGTTGGACCACGATTTATCCCTAGTGCATGAACTGGCTTTTTAGGAGCCTATTTCCTAAGGAGGAATACCTTGCTCAGCCTCAATCCAGTGGGGAGGGGCTTGATCCTAACTCGATATGCCAGACATTGGTGATATCCCATGGGAGGCCTTACCCTTTCTGAGGAGTGTATGGGGGAGTGGAGAGGGGTAAAAGGGGGGCAGGAGAAGGAGGGGAGGGAGGGAGAACTGTGGTTGGCATATAAAATGAAAAAACAAACTTTTAAATAAAAAAATTTAAAAAGAAACGCTTTCTTCTTTAAATTGCATTTGTCAGGCATTTTGTCCCATCAGTGAGAAAAGTGAGATGAACAAAGTAGACTCTGTGTGAGTTGGTGACTTGGCTCCTCAGTTGCATTAATAACCAGACAAAAAAGTTCATCCCATGGAAAAGTCAGCATCTAAGACATGAGTGTTGAAAGAAGGGCTTGATTCAGTGAACATAAAATAAAGAAGAATCATTGCAAACAGGTTGAAGAGTTGCAGATACAGGGATTAGTAATGAGGGAGAGCTGGAGGCTGACGAAGGGGAGAACACTCTTGTGCTTTCTGGCAGTACATAGAGAGGTTAAGGGTATTTTCTCATTCCTCTCATGATCTGGTGTCTCTGAGTTGATGACTAGATGCCTCCAGATGCACTGGGGAAAAAGAGAAAGAGAGACAGGGTAAGTCTAGGTCAACATAACTCTGTATAATTGTTCCAGAGAGAGCATATTTCAAATGGTTACCATGTCTACATGCAGCAGTGAGAAAAATTATGACTTAGCTGTTAAGGCAGCAGAGGAAATTAACATGATATGAAGACAGGGATACTAAACTTTCTCATCTGTGCTAGTCACCCCAGATGTCCTCGGCCTAAATGGGGAGTTACTGTTTTCATCTAAAGCAACCTTTGAGTCTTGAAAAGTAATTCCAGTGGCTTTTAGCATTACCCACAAAGCAGTTACCTACTACACTAATAGGAAACTAAAAACCATGATTTGGTGAAGCTAGATGTTTTATTGGGTCTTTCTTTGATAACACCATGGCTGAAAAATTCTTTGTGAAGGGGCTGTGATTCTGCTTTTGATAGACATCTGACACACAACTCTATTCTAGAGTCTTACCGGGGGCATTCTTGGGAGAAGGATTCCCTTGGATACAGTTATAAGAAGACCCATAAAGTACCTAAAAGAAGCTAATCTTCAGAGATCCACTGAACCTGGCCCCATTATCTAAGGCATTTCTCTACTGCTCTGATGTAGGTGATGCCCTCAGTCTTCCAACTCCACATCCTCCTCTTGTTTGAGGCCTTTCCTCCCTCTCTCCTTTCCTGAATCCTTACCCTCTTGGTGCCATCTTGGAACAGAGCTAAGATTATTCCACTACAGCTTCTCTTTAGAACTTGCTTGGACCAAAAAGAAAAAGAAACAAACAAAAATTCCTCCTCACACATCCTTGACCAGAGAAACTCTAGAAGTACAAGAAACTCCCACCCAGTCCCAACTCCCCTCTGTTTCATCCATTTTCTGCTTGGTCACCTTGTCCTTTACTCTTTAATTAGTCAAAGAAGATTCAGATTCCAGAAAAAGAGGCCCCCACCACCACCCAGTCACTGACCTGCTTCTCACTACAGAGAACATCATAAATTCCTCTGGGTGGCCCTGCTATAGACTCTCAATCATCACTAGACTAGGGAGGAGAAGCAGACACCTTCTCGCCTAAGTCTTTGTGAGTGAAAGGGTCTCACAGTTCAACACTATATTTCCCAAAGAATACATATTCAAAATTTCTCTCTGCTCTCCACTGGTCCTTTTGATAGCTCACGTGTGGGTGAGACATCTAACCAGCTTTTGATCATCTTCTTTGAACTTCTTGGTATGGTCTATCTAGCACCTCCTTTGAAATGTGATATTCATTGTCTCCTAAAGCCTTGGCAAGTAGTTCTATATTCACATCCTGTTAAATATGCAAATGAATCTCTCCCAGAATCCTCAAGAGCAATGCTAAAATCGCTTCCCACTTCAAACCTTCTTTTCACCTTAGAGATCACAGGACTAGTTCAGGAATGTTCCTTGTAAATACTTCAGAAGAATGTTGGCATTAAAGGGACCTTAGAAAGCATCCGTTTCAATTTCTTCCCTTTGTGAAGAGGATGATCTAGATCCCAGAAAGTTTGATAAAGTCAAGTGCCCCAGTTCTCAGTGAAAGAGCTGGAAGACAAGAAATGGACTGTTCTGCCTCGCTGCCCCAACCACCACTCAGTGTCTTAGGAAAGAGACAGTTTCTGTACCAGGAATTTTGCAAAAAGCAGGGAGAATAAAATATCCCTCATTTCTTTTAAAGGTGGAACAAAACTTATCTCTAAAAACAAAAACACTTAGTGAAGAAAGTATGAGCCGTATGCTTTCCCAAGATGCTTGGTGCCAGAATTCTCAGAGACACTTTGTTTTATGGACTCATATATGGTATTTTTTAATATTTCAAAATTACTTGGCAGTTATTTCTTGGAAGAGAATGTTCCATGACTCAGTAGCATTAGTTGGAAGGTCGTCCACGAGATTAAAGACTCAAGTGAGATAGCATGTGTTTTTGCTAAGAGAGATGGATTGTTCTGGGGCTCCTGTTAGCTACCACACCCCGCACTGCACAGAGGGAAGAGTTATGAGTTATGCTCCTGGGACCCATAACATCAGAGAGGATATGCAAGAAAGAGCAACGATACTAGTCCAAAGTCTCAGACTTGGGTTTGATTATCAACTCCATTTTGGCAGAGAGAAAAGTTTGTGGCCCAGGATTCCGAATCTGTATTGATCTACAGGTTTCCCTCTTTTCTGAGGGGCAATTCTAATTCTAAGAGTGGAGTCACTCATGAAACTAATTTAGGCCCTTTGGCTATGAATATTACTTATTTTTTACACAAGGTCACGACCTTAGTCCTAAAAGAACTCATTCAAATAGCAGTGAGCATCAGATTTAAGACATCAAATAGTCTCTCCTACCTTTCAGTTCTAAATTGTTCTCTTAGTGAATTTTTCACTGGGCTTTTCCAAAGCAGGTAATATGTGAAGTGGACCCAAGAACATGTAAGAAGTTGATAAGACAGAAACCTATCTTAAGGAGCAAATGTCAAGGGACATCATAATTAATACATCTATGGAAGTAGTTCTGGTGATAGTAAACTAGTTCCTTAAGTATCCGTGAGGCACAGGGAAGTTAGGGAAGAAGGAAAGTCCTGTCTTGGTTGCTGAAGTGGCCAAGTTCCATCATGAGCACCATGCTTTTTCCTCCAGAACCCTCGCCTCCAAAACCACAGTCTCCTCAGATGTGAAGAAGGCCCAGAAGATGTTGTGAGGATTAAATCCACTGATACTTTAATGTTAGGTCTGTCGCACTCCATGCAGCAAGGCCCTGGCTCTCATGAGCAGAGAGGACAGTGGTGGGATACGTGCTTGCAAATATGAGCCCCAAAGGTGCTCAAGCTTCTTTAGATCACTGGCCTCATCCCCCTCTCGTTTCAGTTATGATGCGCCTTATCTTCTCCTTCCTCTCGGGAGCCAGCTGGTCTCCCAGCTCTATCTGCCTGCCATAATCCTTGTCCATCCCAGCCACGCAGCAGATTTCTACACACAACACACAGACTGACCACGTCTCACTCCTCCACTCAGAGCTGTGTCGGCACCCTGAGCCCAGGGCTGGCATCAGGACCCCCAGGGAAAGTGCCTGTGGTAGTGCCCTTTTGCAGATTACCTTAGACTATTAATTATTATTGTTGGTGGTGTTTGTACCATTGTTGTTATTTTATTTCTTGTGGTCCTGGGAACTTAACTCTGAGCTTTGTTCTCGCTGAGTGAGCAGTCTTTCACTTAGCTACAACCCCAGCCAGTGAGACCTGACTAATATAGCCTTGCTTCAGAAGTCTTTCAGTCTGGATAATGAATCATCATATGGGCTATCGACAATCCTCCATAACAAACAGCCCTCAGCCAGAGACTTGAGATGATAACCATTTCCTAGCCTTAGGGATTTGAGGTCTGGATGGTAGTTCTTGTGGTTTGGTCCCGAACTGACTGGTTGGATGTCTAGATTTCCGATGTAACTGGACTGCCGATAGCTGGTCTGAAATGGCCTCACTCGCCTGCAGTTGGCATATGGGGTGACAGAGCTCCCTGGCCCTGTGTCTTTCATTCCCCTGTAGCCTGATGTTGTTTACTCGCTGAGGTACCTGGCAGGTCTCTGAGGCCTCTTCAGGTCTGGAATTGAAACTGGTAATAGCATCACTTTGGCAACATTTTCTGGCCAAACCAGGACACAAGGTAGTCCAGATTCAAAGAGTGGGGAAGAATTCATTATTTAATAGGAAAATGTGTGAAATCTCATTTTAACGGCGTGGATACAGAGAGGTGGGAAAAATACAGTCATGTTTGCTATCCATCTTCCCGGGACCCAAAAATAGGAGTTTCACAAACTGATGAACACAAACTTGAAATTATCTGGAAAATTAAAAGATGACCTAAGCTTCCTGAAACTGTATCCTCACCCATGAGACGGGGGAGAGACATCACACCAACCTCATGTACTTGGTGATAGAAGGGTGTGTGCAAAGGCCTGGGCTTCCAGAGAACACTGAGTGGTTCCGTTGGACAAGGAGTGGCACATCAGGGGGAGCCCGTGCAGGGGACAGCACTCAGTGCTGAGATCTAAGGGAGCCACGGACACTCAACCTTCCAGAGCATCAGCTCGTGACAGCTGGAAAGACAAATGCAACTTTTGCCTCCAGAAGCTTTCATAAGAGCTGCACTGGAAAATAAGGCAAATAGCTAATTTAATGTTCCCACTTCTAGATACTATCACATGTGCTTTGTACTTACAGGATTACACAGTTCATGAGCAATAACACTGACTTCAGACCCCACACCTACTCTCATACTTGCACATTCATGTGGCCCTCCCTCAGTTCAAACAGTATGTTTTATTTTGCACAATGGGAAAATGAAAGGCAGGATAACAGTCTCTTAAAGTATATATGCTTACATACTAGCTCCTCAAGCCTATAAATATTCTTATAAGAAAAAGACAAAAGAAGATCTGACCCTAAGACAGGAAGCCTCTGTTACTCCTATAAAAGATGGGAGACAAATAGATTTAAAGGTGCTAAAAAGCTGGCTATAAAGTAGAAAAATTACTCTGGGTTTTCTGAGAGGATCAAGTGCAATCACAAGAGTCATTACATGTAAAATAGGGAGGGCAAAAAGATTGTAGATTCTGACCAGATGAAAGTTCACACCTCTAATCCCAACATTCAAAAGGTTAAAGCAGGGGGATTGTAGCAAGTTCAAGACCAGCCTGAATTATAGAGTGAGCTCTAGGCCAGCTTGCACAACACAGTAATGTCTTCTCTATCAATATATAAATAAATTTTCTACTGCTATATTTGAAGATGAAGAAACCAAGAACCTTGGCAGAAAGCAGTCTGTAGATGTCTGAGAGGGAAATAAAATCTATTGTTCCCATGAGCAAGGGAGCACAGCCCAGCCTACATCTGGCTTTAGCCTAGCAGGAACTGTTTCAGGTTTCTGATTCAGAACAGTAATATTTTCTTAAGAACTGTTTGTCACTAAATCTTTGGCAATTTCTTATTGCAGTGAATAGAAAATAATATAGTGCCTAAGTGACTAGTGTCTCCCAACATCCCTCCGTCTGAGAAGGAACAAGGAAGGCGTTCCCACAGCATACTCTGTACTCTGTTCACTTGGTCCGCTTACTACAGAAGGAATTCATCATCCACCACCCTACAGCTCCCGTCCTTCCGCACATTACCGGAAGATCCTCAGGAATGGTTTACATATGATTTTATGTAAATGTTATCACGGAGTTCCAAACACACTCTTCATACTGTCTTCCGTCCCTTTCCTGACACCTATTCCAGAGTCTGCCCCGCCTCCTTGGTCCCATGCAGGCAGCTGCCTTCTATCCCTCCTTATATTGGACTGAACCTCCCCAGCTCTCTGCACATGGGCGCTGCAGTGACACACTGACCCCACTAAGACTCCTGGTCCTTGACACACCCAAAGTAACTATTGTCCTCCTAAGCCTCATGCACACCAGAGCTCAGCTCCCCCGCATAAGCTTCCCATTCCCCATGGACTCGTGTCTAAGAGCCAAGCCTAACAGTGATCAGAATCTATAGTTAGGGCTCTGCTGCTTCCGTCTTGCCCCTGGGAACACTACTACAGAACACCCACAAGAAGCGTCCAACCCCAATTCCTCTAGAAGTGTTTACCAATTCCCTCCATCCTCCATGGACTCAGGGGTTCTCAAAACCAAAAGGACCTATTTAAGTGTGAGCTTTAAGACAGGAAGAGATAAAGCAAGTGAGGAGTGGGTCAATTTTGTCTTTTGTAACCTGGAAACTCACTGAGTATTGAATAGCTTACTAGACACTGTCTATGGTTGCTGTTTATTTCTCTAAGTTCAGAGATATGTCATGGGGTAGTTGACTCTCTTCCGACTCTACATGCAAAAGGCAGCCCGTTAGGACATTCAGGGACATGGAAGGCTCCACCCTGCTGATGTGCAAACTCTGTGAGGACTAGTTGCCCCAGGCACAGGTGTCATGTTCTAAAACTATTATGCTGTCTGTCCCCGCAGCTCCACCCTTCCCAGTCTGGAGGGACACACATGGGCCTCCTCCAGCATATGGCTCATCATTGGAGGGAGGGCCTGAAGGCAGCACCATTCCCAGGGGCTTGGGGTTGGCAGCTGGCATCCGTCAGCAAGACAACATTCATTTCTAAAGCAGCATAAGAAAAATTAAACTTGGAATTCCATCATTTCATATAAAAAACAAGAATGAAAATAAAAGTGGTTCCAAGTTATTTTATTCTGAATTATTTTTAATGCCAATGACAACAAAAGAGCTTTTCCACATGAGTCATTTTACAAAACAGAAAACATGACTTCCTGAAATGGCATTTTAGAGAGTCTAAAGGAAACCAGAATTTGATGTGAGGAAAAAAAAATGGAACAAAGCTAGCACTGTTCACTAGGATGGGGAGATCTCTAACTTCCATCTTTTCTTCCCTCCTTCATTCTCTTCTTCTTTCCTTCCTTCTCTCCCTCCCTCCCTCCCTCCCTCCTTCCTTCTTTTCTTCCTTCCCCTTCCCTTTCCCTCTTCAGACCTCTCATCTCCCCTCTTCTCACAGTCTAGAATTTTCTCCTGCCTCTGTTCTCTAGCCCCTCCTTCTCTTTCTTAAGTCTCCTCCCATCTGCTCATCTCTTACTATTCTCCCCTGGCCACCCTATTTTCTGTAAGACCCCAGAGACCGCACCCTGTTGCACACTCTCAAAGAACATGTACCCAAAATGTGCACTTCCTGAAATGTGATGACTTGTCTGTGTTTCTACGCCACATGCTTAGGGTTGAGCAGCATAGACCCACAGGGCCCTGCCGTAAAGGAGCTCCCAGACTCCTCTCTGCCCATCTCGATGTTATACCAGAGAACAGAGTCACAGCAAACACAGCCTCTGGGTGAGAAGCATGAAGACGCAAGGCAGGCAAATCCTGCTCGGACACTGATGCAGCACCCGAATGAGTGTCCCTACTACAAAATAACCATACAGTTCGTCCCTGTCCCCTACCAGTGCCACCACTGACCATTTATTAGCTGCTCAATAAACAGTTACCGACTGTGGTGGTTAGTACTGATTATCAACACATCGTCACCCAGGAGACGAACATCTCAACACTTCTGTGAGAGACTTTCTAAACTGGTTAAAACTCAAGTGGGAAAACAACCGAAAAGTAGCAACACCAACACTATGCCACGGGCCATGTTTAGTACTTGAGTGAAAAGGAAAAAGCAGGAATTTGAAAGTTGAAAGACACCAGCCTCCAACTCTCCATGCTTCCCAACTGTGAACGGGATACGACCACCCACCTCACACTGCTGCAGCCGGGACTCCTCTTCCATGATGGGCTGCCCCTCAGACCACGAGTCAAAGAAAAGTCTCCTTCTCTAAATTGTTTCTGCCAGTCATTTTGTCAGGGCAATAAGACAAGTAACTAGTACACTGCGCCACTCAATGGACCAAGACAATAGTTCATTTCTGGCACGTGGCTTACCTCTTCCAGTAAACTCTTTCCCAGGACAGGTTTAAAGTCGGATCTACGATGTCTGAAAGGCAGACATTCGGCTATTCTCACTACTGTTCCTGCCAGGCATTCGACAGCTTTCACCTTGGTCTGGATCCAAAGGTGACTCAGCATCTCTCACCCTCAGGTTCCACTCTGCCCTGCTGAATGACGGTCGATGCCCATCTCCTTGAAGAAATTCTCTTTTGGCTGCATGGGCTCTGCAAAGCCCCTCCATCCCACCAGACAGTCCTTTCTCACCGACTTCCTGGGCACTGGCCCTCTGGGCTTGATTCTCCACTCTACTGCCCACTGACTGCCATGTCAAGTGAGAAAATACCACTCAACTGCCATCCAGATGGGGCTCATTTGTTTACTTATTTAACAAGTGCTTCTAAGTTCCAGCAACTATTTTGGATGCTTTATAAATAGTAATTCAGTTAGGGCTGCTGACTCACCCAGCTGGAGTGTCAAACCCAGCTGCAGCATCATTCCAGACACCTGCCCAGGAAATGGTGGTGTGAAATGCTGGTGTCCAGCTGCCCTGGCCACCTGGCAGTCTCTTCCAGAACCCCTTCCCTGAGGTGTAGCCATGGCTGTCAACACAGCTGAACTCTTAAAGCCAGAATACTATCTTCCAGAACCACTGTCTAGTCTAGAGACCCATTCTATCCATCCCATGTGGGTGGACCCTCCTTGGACCACCTGTCAACCTCCTTACCTGACCATATTCATTGCTACAACATGGCCCAGTCAACCTGTCTACTGTTGTTTCTCCCAATCCATCACAGGTTCTCTGTTCCTATGTCTATACTGTCTTTCTGTCCCTTAGCACATGAACAATGGTGAGGGCCGGCAGCTTGTCTCCTCCCTGGTTCCATGTCTTCACATATAAATCCTGTCCTTCAAATATCTCCTGAAAGGTGACATGGAAAATTAAAGCCACACCCTGTTTCTCTGGGTCAAAGTCAGTGGCTTCAAGGTCAGTCACTAAATTGTTCCCCGGGAGGCTAAGAAAATAGGTTGACCTGTCAGGCCCTACCCTGTGATGCTTGTGTCTCCACACCTATGTACTGTAGGCATTCCTGAAGACTTCCTTTAGGAACACTGAGACAGAAACTCAGGGATGGCAGAAAATTGATCACAGGGTGAGAGATTGTGTAGGGGGTGCTTGTCAAAGATAAAGATTTCTCCGTCATTCCGGATAGATTGGTTCCTTCACTTCTGCTGTGACAAAATGCCCTGTCAGTACAGTTTAAGGTAGAAAAGGCTCATGTTTACTACAGTTCCAGAAGGTTAGAGTCTGTCATGGCAAGGAAGGTATGGTGGCAGGAGCCTGAGAGCAACTTGCATTGAATCAAACAAGAAGTGGAATGAGACCATGAAACATCAAAATCCCACCCCAAGTGGCATACTTCCTCCAGCAAAGTCCACCACCTAATGTGTCCATCACCTTCCCAAAGAGCAAGTTTGGACCAAGTTTTCAAACCTATGAGCCTATAGAGGACGTTTCACAGTTAAGACACAATACCATTCAAGTAGAATGTCGAAAGTAAGAGCCTACCTTGCCCTTCTTCCTCAGTCTACCATGAACGTCTGAGAACTAGCTCTTAGACTGTCATGCGTGTTACATCACCAAGAGAGCTCATTCAGAATACAAAGCTCTGCACTTAAGAGGTAGGTTCTAATCTTTGGTGTGGGTGGGGCCGTGGGGGATTGTTTCTAAAAGTATTTCAACTTGATATGGAAAAAATCTGTCAAACTCACACACAAGGAGGTTCACTGCCCTACCATCTCATTCTTTGGTTTCTGAAAATAGCCCTTGGACTGCACAGATTGTGTCTCCTTTCTCCTCTTATTGGCCAACCACCCGGGAGATGGTGTAAGCATCTAAAAGTGTGAGCAATGAATAGTCTTTGGGATTTTGAACCTACTGGGTGGATTCGCTTCGTTTTTCTATTTCTCAGTTCCCCCGTTTGTATAATGTAATGATGCCAAGTTGTATCACAGAGGTATCTGAAGGACAGATCAAATGAAACCCTTCTCCTGCTGGCCACATCAGGGATAGCCAATGTTGACTATGAGCAAGCACAAGGAGTTGATTGTGAACACCCTCCTGTAAGTCAGCTTCATCCCCTCAACCCCTTGTGTGCAACTCTGTGCTTTCATTTAGGAAACAAACTGTCCTTTTATTTTTCTCTCTCCCCTCGTAACAATTCCTTGAGAGCAGAGACCATGCTGTGCTTATCCTCCCAGCATCCAGCACTGGTCACAATAACTACAAGAAGATCAGAGAAGGTTTGCAATGACTGCTGGTATATTCCATTCACATCCTAGTACAGAGGGACCAGTGAATCACCGGAAGCCATTCAGCCCTCTGACTCAGGAGGGAGATAAGGAGCGGGGAGGGAGTTTAAGTATCTTGATTTATGTGCCCAAGCAATGAATGAAATCATGCTTGAAATAGTATCTGTAGCAAAATTTTAAGCATCTCTGTGTTTGAAAAAAAAAAGAGGTAAAAGAAGATTGACAGCTAAATGAAATGAAAATACCATCCACTCAGGCAGAGGTGCTGAATGGCAAGTGCTCCATGAACAACATATTTATGGTGGAAATGGAAGAATTGGGAGTTTAGAACAATTTTGAGTAGGCAAATGTTGGAGAGAGGATTAAAAGCTTTCACAGGTGCAGAAGGTGATCAGCATCCCAGAGAGGAGGAATCATCCCTATCTGGTGAATTGTTCCAAAGAATAAAAGAGTTGAGTAAATTTATCCCCCAAGACAAAGCTTGCTATAATGATACACACATCATTATATGGATTCTACCATGACACTTGAGTATGACAGTTTGACATAGTTTGCACAGACCATGAAAGACAGGAATTGCAAGCAATTTCCCCCTTGGTCTTTACCAGCTCTCCAAGTAATCTGAAGCTGTAAACTCTGTTAAGAGCCACCTCCCTGGAATAAAGGACAAATCACATGGCTTGAAGTCAGGAGGTGTCAGCTCCAGCTGGAGCCCCCTGTTTGCTCTGCATACTAACAGATCACGTCTCTGCAGCTGGAGCTTGCTTATATGTAAAATTAAGAATAATGCCTATATCACAAGTCAGGTTTTGAGATTGAATGAGGTCATGAGTGTCAAGCTTTGGGGAAGCATGAAGCACTGTGAATCTGTAATGGGATCCTACCTCAGCCCTGAATGCAAAACAATGGTAGTCTCAGGGACTCTGTAAATTCAAGCTGGATGCTTACCTGGCCTTGGAGTGTGACCTAGATTTCAGTTAGGCTTCATCACTCCAGCTATTTTTTTTTTTAGCTTCAGTGATGTTGGCTTCCTACAAAAGCTATCAACCCCATAGTGTTTGCTGCATATTACGATGGCAGGTGCATTATATAGACCATGTAATAACCATTTCAATTATCACTCACATTTTCTTTCTATCTCATTTCACATTAAATCCTGTAATGAGTCTTCCTTCCTTCTGCCAAACTTGTTTCTTCTCTGATCTCTACTAAAATGAAATTGTTGATGTTATTCCTTTGTGGTCACTTTAAGAACTAACCACGCCCACCCCAGCCACTTCGGACCTCCCTCGCCACCATCTTCTCTCTCTCTCTCTCTCTCTCTCTCTCTCTCTCTCTCTCTCTCTCTCTCTCCCTCTCTCTCTCTCTCTCTCGTGTGTTTGTCTCGTGTCGTGTGTACGTGTGTCTTTGTTCTCTCTATGTTTTTCTTATGTATCTCTGTTTTTCTCTTCATTAAGCAATAAATGTCTCCCTCTTTTTTAAATAATACTATGTCCTGTGAGCCTTTTATCCACCGTAACCACCCACCTGACTCCCCCGGCCGCATGGCGCTGCCACCCTGGAGATCTTGCAGGGACCCACAGCCATCCTTGTCGGACTAGAAGCTGCTTTGCGAGCCGCCCGGGACATCCCATCATCATAATATTTTTAAAAGAACAATAGTTGATACCATGAGGGCACTAAGGTCCTCCAGACAAAGGGAATCAAAAAGGAAGAGAGGATTTAAGGAACTGGTTCATTAAAAGGCTGGAAGTCAAAGGCCCCTGAGCTGTGCAGTCAGCCTAATAGGAAGAGCCCAAGGCACAGCTCCTGTCTGAATCCAAGGTCCTAAGTACCACCGGAGCTCATGGTAAAGGACGTCGGCAACTCAGAGACCAGAGAAGAGCTAATATGTCAATCCATCTCATCTCAGCCTGAAGGCTGAGACACACTGATATCCCAATTCAAGCAAGCAAGCAAAGCAAAAGCATTTCCTCCTACTCAGTCTTTCTGTTCTATTCGTGTGTGGAAATGATTGGATAAGCCCAATCAGCCAGACAATAAGTATAAATCTCACTAAGGAATGCCTTCACAGACACACAAGAATAGCTTTTGACCAAGTATCTGGGAACCCCATAATAGACCAAGATGACACATTAAACAGCAGTAAGGGTCCACAAGGGCCTGTCCCTCCGCATTTAAGTGCAATGGTGCTCCTCAATTTTCCCTTGAAGGATGTGGTTAAAGAGAGTAAATATCTGAGAACGATGATGGTTTGGGAGCTCTGTCAAGGGACAGAAGGCACAGGTGGATCTGAATACGAAAGAAGGAAAGCTAAGAATGCCAGGAACAAAATTAGCTTCCCAGACTTTCTGAGGTTTGACCAAATCTGTCTCTCACGCATGGCACATTTTATTTTTCCATTATCCATCTGATGCCTTACTTACATATTCACGTACCAGGCGGCATTGACTGAAGGGACTATACTGGGTACAGGGACCAAGGATCAACTCAAGGATGGACCTTATCCACAGGTACCCCTATAAACTTGTCCAGGTTCATAAACACCTTTGGTGCAATATATGCATGACATCCTATATTAGATGCTGCTAATTTGGAAGTTGCGTTGTTACCTGCTTCCAGACCACCACCATCAATGACTCTAAAATCACCACCATATCCCTGCACTGTGTAGCCGCATAGACAGAAACTCGTGACTCATCCCCAGAGTTATCATGTCATTGCTGCATTGATAAGGATCAGAGCCGAGACCTAAAATCTGCCTCTCTCAGTTTGTAGCCCTAATCCAGCACAATAATGAAACCCATCTCACAGATACATACTGTATTAACTACACTTATATTCCTGTGGCCAGATAGAGGATAGGAGTGACTAAGGGAGGAAGAGTATATGTTGGTTCAAGGCATCAGGGAATATCAGTCCATCATGGTGGAGAAGGCATGTCAGAGATTACAGTGGTGGGGATGTACATTAGACTTCTACATATCTTGGTAGCTCAGGAAGCAGTGAGCTAGGATCAGAATTAGAAGCCAAGATTACTTTCAAGGCATGACCATAAAGACCCAC